CATTTCTTTTTGTCAGTTAATCCATCGACTCCATTCAACCAAAATTAATTATTATAACGAAAAGTATTTTATTTCTGGCGTTGATCGATCAAATTTTTACAGATTCTAGACGAAAATATTGACATTTTTATAATTTTTATTAATTAACGATCTAAAAAGTACATAGCAGAGAAAAATAATTATAATGAGTAATTAATTTCAAACATAAAGGAAATAGTTTCAACTCTAACAATTTGTTATGGCAATGGAAATAGGATGAATAAAAAATGTCGAAAGGATTATAGAAAAAAAAAAAAATAAAAAAAAAATAAAAAAAAAAGAAAATAAAAAAGAAATAAAGATACAACTAGATCGGCAGAGTGCGTGTAAACCAGAACCCACGAGCGTATTACGAGCGATCCCTTACACGCTGCAACGATTTTCAGTAACGAAGAAATGTTCTGTTTCTCCCCATATACGTATGTAAGTAACCGGTAAAGTTTGAAACCGTGTTGCGTTGCCCGATAGAGTAATAACCAACTCGAAAAGAAGAGAAACAAGATTGAGATCGAAATTAGGTCTTTTCCTAGTTAGCTCTGCGTAAGTAAATAGAGAGAGAAAGAAAGAAAGAGAGAGAGAGAGAGAGAGAGAGAGAGAGAGAGAAGACGTGAGAATGGTGAGAGATAGTGAAACTGTCCTAAGAAAATCTTCGACCGTTCTAATTACTATGACTGATCTAAACGCAATCGCGTACTAAAAGACCAAACTGGATTACTTTCACTCGATATGTATATATATATATATATTTTTTTTTATCGAATTCTTATATATATATATATAAGAAATTATATAATAAATATATAATACATTCTTATATATATATATATATATATATATATATATATATATATCATGTAACTATTTCATTTAATAAAAATTCATAATCGTTTTTATCGTGACACTTTATATAAATCTACTTTTTATATAATTTTAAATGATTAAAAGTTTTCTCGACGACACGAAAAAAAAACAAAAAAGGATTTTTACGATTATCGTGTCCTATCGATAGGAAGATTGAACCGAGAACACGCATATACTCCGGCCATTGACTCGTAACGGGTTCGGTCTATGCCCTATGGACTCTGCTTCGTTACGAGCCTTTCAAGACTGCACAAGTCCAGTTTTCATCGTCGCCAACGATTTTCCAAAGCCGTCTTAACAACTTGCAATGATCTAACGTAGAATTTTTCTACGATTCTATAATCGTAGAACACGTAATATATCTCGTTTTTATCCTGATAAACTTTTAACATAGATGTATCTATCAAAAAATTTAATCGATCATGTATGTAATTTAAATCGTGTATCTAAAAAAAAGTTCAATCATTTAAATTATCTATCTGTCAAAAGTGTAGTCAATGAAAAATATTACTTTACGCTGTAAAATTTGTTACAAAAAAATTAATAAAAATCTTCAATGATTTGTTTTTTTTTTTTTTTTTTTTTCAGATACGCTCACGATCAAGACGTTATTGCTTTTGGCAGGCACGATATACATCGTGAATGCAACCTCAGTCTGCCCTTGGGCTCAAAATGTCGCAGAACTTGAAAACTCTTGCATCTGTGATTATAATCTTGCTAAAGAACTATCAGTACAATGTGACATCGTTGATTACGGTCAACTACTATTGGCTATGAAACGATACGCTTCAAAGATCACCGTTGATCTCTTTTACATTAATAACAGTACCATTGGTACTCTAAAGAATGGATCTCTTTCAGCGCTAAGAATCAATAACATACAATTATCGGGTTGTCGTATTTCGATAGTTGAACCTGAAGCATTCAAAGATCAAGAAAATTCATTGAAAAGTCTTAATCTTAAAGATAACGAACTGATAGAAATACCTATTGATACGTTGAAGACTTTAAAGAATCTTACAGTGTTAGATCTATCAATGAACAAGATTACAAAAGTTCCAGATGATGCCTTTGTTGGATTGAAACTGGTCACTTTAAAATTGTCTGACAATGAAGTTACTCTCTCATCAGGTGCCTTTAGAGGTTTAGAAGCGACTTTGAAAAATCTTAATCTTAAAGGTACCCGACAAAAAAAAGTACCAGAAGCATTAAGAGGTCTCAAAGCTCTAGCCTTTCTGGATCTATCACAAAACAGTATACATGAATTACCTGGATCAGCTGGTATCAAAGCATTCGAAGGACTAGACTCATTGACTGGTCTCAATCTTGAGAGAAACTTGATCCAAAATATCGGACCAAATGCTTTCTATGGCGTCAGAAATACTTTAAGCTCTTTGAGTTTATTAAACAATCTCATCCCTGATTTTCCAACTGCTGCAATCAACAGTATTCATGATCTTAGGGTAGAAATTTATAGATGATAAAAATCTAATCTTATTATCAAGGATTTTAATAATTCATTTTCTACAGGTACTTGACATCGGATTCAATCTAATAACGGAGTTACCAGTGAATGCTTTTCAAGGTAATCCATCGGTAACACTTCTCGCTATCGATGGAAATCCTTTGTCCACTGTACCAGAACGAGCATTGGCTAGATTGAATGGTACTCTAAGAGGACTGAGCTTGGGAGGAAGATTCCTTGTATGTGATTGCAAATTACGTTGGATCGTCGATTGGATCAAGACTAAGGATCTTCAAGTAACTAGCCGCGAACGTAAACCACCATTTTGTGGTAGTCCACAGAGATTACAAGAAAAGAATTTTTATAACATCGATATAAATGGTAAGAAAACTAAATCTTCTTGACCGTTCTCGGAAAGATTTCTTGTTAATTCGACGATAATCATTTTAGATATGACATGTGAAAGAACACCAGAAATTATTGGAATTGGCACTGTTGAAAGTGTCGATACTAGAGAACCAACAGGTCCAAGTGATAATGTAGGTGTTGCTACTCATCACTCAACGATAAGACCACAGATATCTACCACAACAACTAGTACATCGACTACTACACCTTCAACAACAACAATCTTTTCAACTACAGAATTTAAAAGAACGACTGAAGCACCTCAAACATCTACTATGTTTACTTCGACAACTAATAGACCAACTGCAGCTCGAACAGGAAATGTAGTTATAATGAGGACTACTTTAACTCCACCTAGACATGTTCAGGATCAACCTCAGCAACATCAACCAAGACCTCCTTTGGTTCTTGGTTCTCCTCTTTATAAAGCTAAATCAAATGATAGAGATATCATAGTGAAGGATGTACTTAGACAGGATAATTCAGTGATTATCTATTGGGACACAAAAGCACCTAAGAGTTTAGGATTTCGTGTGATTTATCGATTATTTGGAGATGATAGTTTCGAGCAAGCTCCGCCACTTGATGCTAGCGAACGTGAATTTAAAATAAAGAACGTACCCTATCAGGTAGAATATACTTTAGATTTAAATGCAAAACGAATAAAAATAAATCAATGATCAATTGTTCATTTTTACAGGAATGCATCATAGTATGTGTCGTTTCATTGGAAGAGACCAATCTTACGCCAGCAAATGTTCCCTATCAACAATGCAGAGAAGTTAGAACAGAAAATTCACCAACTTCTAATATGGACAAAATCACTATAGCTGCTAGTGCAGCAATATGTGCGACTATAGTAGTTGCAGTGATAATCTTTGTGGTTGCTAATAGAAGAAGGGCTCGTAAACTTCATACACTTCATAGTATAGATCAAACTAACATGGGTGGCCCTATAGCAGGCTTGCCAGTTAATTGTTGCTCAACCGGTGGTCCAACGCCAAGTCCAGGAGGACCTCTGTCTTCTATGGCGACCTTGAGTGCTTACAATGCTCAAAAGGAATGGGATCAAGTATCAGCTTATAGTAACAGAAGTATACCGAGACCTAGAATCTTTCCTGTCGATCGACAAGGTATGAATATTCTTACTTTATCTGACTGATAAATGATGTAAAATTAATACATTTATTATTTCTAATCTTAGGTTCGATTACTAGAGCTTCTTGCATCGACGATGTTCGTTCTCAAACAGGCCACTATGGTGGTAAAGTATCTACACGTTCGGTTGCTGATGGGCAATCACAACATAGTTTCTCTAATAACTCTACACGATATTTTGCTAACACGACTTTAGGATCTAATCTCGTAAACTCTAGACCAGGTATTTAATAAAAAAAAAAAAAAAAATATTAGTTCTCTAACGTTAAATTAATAAGGATTAATGAGTGATTTTTTGATTCTAGAATTACGTCAGTCACGTCAATCGTTAGCAGCAGCTTCCGATAGAATGTCGCGCAGCAATTATACTAATAATCACATGCCCTCTCATGCTTCCTCGAGAAGACAACGCCCAAGATCACGTAATCGTACCTTGGAACAAAATCCTCCAAGGCCTGGCAGTCGCTATAGTTTAGCTGACTCCACGCATACGTTGAATAATTACGATGAAAATAATTGGACCGATCATGATATGGACATATACATGACACGTAATCCAACTACGAGAAGCGGTCTGATGCCAGTATGATCATCGGTTTTACAAACTTGTGTTCAGTCGGTTCGTTTGATTTTATGCGATTCGATGCATCAACGTACAACAACGTACTCATATTAGACTAAGTTAGCAATAAGGCCGATCGAATCGAATGATAGCTATTGTTCATCGTAACGATCATTTTTATAAATTGTATGACTTAGGTACTTGTAATATGTATCAACGAGCCAAACAATTGTTCATTGGTTCATTCGAACTACGATCTTGTTTTGAATAAGTATTCGCTAAATGTATTTATACCCAAAGAGACTGCATCGCGAGGTGAAATGCATTCGACGGAACAAGCGTTCTGTCCTAAACGAATGTTAAATATTTTTAAATAGAATCTATAGATATACACGCTGAAAAGTTAAGTGCATTATTGTCAATTGATTAAAAATGCATTGAAATTCGTTAGAGATTAAAATCAATAATTTTTTTCTAATCACTTGACGAATCAATAAAATTACTCACCCTGGTATAAGAATATCCGATTCTCTACGAAATCTAATTTCCTGAACGAACTCGTGCCAAAGTTGAGCTAATGCTGTGGCTCCACCTAGATTATGTGTGCAATGTGAGGCTACAACTGCAAGACGCCATACTAAACTGTCAATTATACATGTCTTTACTCCTTTCCACTGTTCCTCCTCGTAATATATGCTCATATCACCGTACGGTGTTTTCTGAAGAAATTCATATAATTATTATTTCACAGGAACAAGTAAAATATCAATAAAATTCTATACTTACAGGATTATCTTCAGTATCGGGGAAAAGAAAATACAATATAGGCATCAATATTTCTTCAGTAATTGGACCTTCCACGTTCTTTGGTTTTTTCGTGTTTCCTTTACCAATGACAGAAGAAATTGTAGGAATTCTTGATTCACTTAATATATTAAATGCAGCACTCAAATTGTTCTCATCATCGGCGAGAAACATGGCATTCTCACCTAACAAGTCAACCATAGCTCTCTGATCGTTACATAAATGTAGAAAATCTGTTAAATAATCTCCAAGTAAACAAGCCGGAGAAGGTACCATTGTCACTTGAACTGACCACTCTGGTGCTAACTGTGGTTCTAAATCAGTGAATCCTTCACTGTCTACTACGACGTGCTCTGACATTTGCGGCCATGTGGTATATAGATGAAGTTCCCTAAACATATATCAAACTCAAGAATAGACTACTTTCCTTAAGTTTATGTAAAAAGACTTTTTCTATGTCTTTACATATAATCATCTTACCCAACAGGATCAAAAGTTGCTCCAAATGGAAGCTTTCCTAATTCTGCTACTCCAAGTGTCTCTCCTTGCATAAAATCAAAATCTGGAGGTTGCTGTGTCCAAGTACTGCATGTCCAATCCCTTAATAAATACGAAAATCTCACTGAAACTAATACTGGATTTAACTTCACTCCATAGCTTTCTGTGATTTTTTGTTTGAATACAGCAAGCAAACCTGCAAATAATTTTTATTTTTTAAATAATTCCATACATCTCTAATAAAACTTATACAAATAATAATATAATAATTCAACATTTTACTACAACAAAATTTTTATATTATAATTCATTATGTAAATTAATTAATTAGATAAAACTGTAAAAAGAAAATGTACACACCAGTAAGATATTTACAATGAGGTGGTATTTTTTTCAGATGTACCATCTCGAAATTAACGGAGCTGCCTCTACCTACGCTTGTACCAAGATACAGTTTTTGCCATGATTCTTGTACCTGTACAAAGATAGGTACTTCGCTAAAATATGATGAAAATGTATTAATAAAATATCATTGAACCATATATTTAATGTCGATTGAATACCATTACCAATTTGTATTATTAGCAGCAATTGTAATAGAACTTAATAAAATCTTCATACGTGTCTCCTCTATTATAGGATTTCTTTTTCCTGGCACTAAAACAAGAAACTCTCTGATTCCAAAATAAGGTGCTATTTCTAAATGTTCTTGATCTACACGAGCAAAATCATTAAAAGAATTGAATATATCCTTTTGACATTCAGTTTTTTCGTCGTCCTCATCTTCCAATGAACTTTTCATAGTTTCAACATTCTCTATTACAAGTCTAAAGTGCTTAAATGTAAATTCAACATCTAAAATATAATTTAGAGAATTAACAAAAAAAAAATATGGATTGTAGGAGGTTATCAAATGTTTTATTAGCTCTATTATAGATCGTATATATGTGTAAAAATATAAAAAAGAACATAATAATTAAAAGAATACCTGCAAAATGAACTTTCTCCGTATTGTTTTTCCATTGAGAATTAACAAAATCGCCGGATTTCAAAGATGGACCATTTCTTTTATCAGATATTTTCCACTCATGCATAATTTCTTCTAAACGTGCAATAAAGACCTCCCATTCTGTAGCAGTCGTGAAGTCGTGATGATAAAAATCTTCAATTTCGATGTTATTCATTTTCGTTGATGAAAATCAGGCCTCGAAACAATATTTATTCCGAGCCATTCAAGTTAACAATCTTATAGGTTAAGTGACAGAACGTTATTGAACTTGTCGGTATATATACGATTACGTCGAACGTAATGTATTCTTAATAACGCAGATGGCGCCACAAATAATGTACTCGTTTAATGTACAAAATTTTATCGATAAAATAATAAACTATAATATTGAATAAATCAATAAAAAAAAAAATAAATAAATATAAGATATGAACCACATGTATGTATCGATATGGATATTTTATATAAGAAAATCAACTTGTATATATTACAATATTCACTATTATTAAATAACAATTTTCAATATGATAAATATTCAAGTAATTGAAAACATCATTTTTAGTGATTTTTATCATGAAAATTTTACCAACAATAAATCGAAAATATAGGCAAATGTATTGCTGATTATATTTCATTCTAAAATTAATAAAATCTATCAGCGTTATATCGTTGAAAAAACGAAATATGTTCAATTGTGTTAAATATTCAAAAAAGTGTTTTCATTTAATATAATTTATCATGACAAGATTTTAAACAATATAATATTAATTGTGATGAACTTTATCATAGTTTCTAATTATTTGGTTAAAAATCTTAAGTATTTAAAAAATCCGGGCTAGATCTTTTCTAAGATTTACTTAGAAGTGCTATTTTTATTCTAAACTCAATTCTATTAGAAGATCGGCCGGTATTTCAGACCAAGCTTAAAAACAACTTTAACCAAATTAAACGCATGATTAAAAATTTCAACTTTTTATAAAGTAATAAAATAATAATTTAATAATATTTGAACATTGTTTAAATATATTATTCAAATTATTGTATTGCTCAAAACTTGAAAATTCATAAATTTAATTTATTTTTTAATCGACAGGTATAGATAATTATTAGTATTTTTTAAAAGAAATAACAAAAAAAATTTCTTTTAATATAAATACTTTACAATTGCAAGATTTACTTGATTAAATTTTCTCATGTCGACTAATCTTTTAAGCAAACTAATGACGAGTTTCATATTTCGTAGGATTATAAAATATAATCCAGTTTAGAATTGACCAGATAAACGCTACAAATCTGCTTCATTTCTACATCTCAAATTTGCAAACAGAGATAAAATACTTACGTAATTACATGTGTCAGATTTCGTTTTATACTAATTGTAACAGTGATAATATTTTTCTGCAAAGTCAAATGATAATTTCCGTGATATAGCTTCCAAGCATCTTAATTTTTAATTCAACAATTTATCATTTCTATTATTAAAATAAAATTCCAATTATAATTCAAATTTATGTAAATCTCGTTCACACGAAATGAAAAAAAAAAAAACAAAACAAAAGAAAAATGATAATTATTCTCAATCATTAGTCTTACCACGTAGTAGTACAAAAAGATAACTTTTACAAAAATCAATGTACTTTGTTTGTTTGTTTGCTGGTAAGTTTTGCGGTGATCGATTCTTTTGGCATTAAACAAAATAATTCTAAACATACTTCTGCGGCCACGGAAGAAGAATAAAAGGGGGAGAAACGAGTAACGGAAGTTCTCAATGCAGTGGTTTGCAACCATTTTATTTTCCCATATCGAAACTAAAAAAAAAAAAAAAGACAATTAAATTAATATAGTTTATATATATATATATATATATATATATATATATATATATATATATATATATATGTAATTACGTAACATAAAACATATTTCGCAACAATAACTTTTTATTCGTATTAAATGCATGAATTAAAGAATGTTCGAATAAAAATATAGGATGACAAATTGAAAAGAAAAAAGATCAAAAAAGAAAATAAATTTGACTGATATTCTTATATGAAATATAATTAATAAAATTACATACATTGTTTGACAACATTATAAATTAATTAATACTTATCAAATCAATTAACGATAAGTTCGATATGAACGGAAAGATAGAAAGTTGTGCGTCACTGGGCACTCGCAACGGTCATTTCATAGGCGTAGTATATATGAAACTTGAAAAATAATCGTTGTATATTGTCAATCATCAGATTAAATATCGACGCCAATGTTACCAATGGGTGTCCCCAAGAAGACCATCGTTGAAGCGTTAACACGCAGTATTTCTAATCCCGTCAACGTATATGCTTCACGCGAAATTCACGAGAAATTCATTAAATCGTGAACATCCGGATAAACACCGGAAGATCACGATGTTTTTGATTATTGATTCGTTATATTTCCTTCGTAATCGAAAAAATCGATCTAATGTCTGTGAAAGGAATATTATGTTTTCGATCATTTTATAGAAATTTGACTATAATAATCTATAGTTGTTGTATATTTAGACATAAATATGTTTATACACAAATATTTTTGACTAAATAATAATAATAGTGCGATGGAAATTTTCGTGAAATATAAATAAAAGTGAAGTTGTGTGTGGGGGATGAATAAAGATGGAAGGATTGATATGTTACTGCCGGAAGTGATGCACTAGCAACGTATTATTTTAATGCAATGCGCATTCAAAACTTATGTGATTTTCGAAAAAAATCCAATCAAGTATACGTTCTCTATTACTTGAATAAATCAATTCTATTTAAAATATTTACATTTGTGGAAATTAAAATTATCCTTACGTGAATATCAAGTGTATGTACATATGTATTTCTTGAAAAATATACAGAAGTCCTAAGAAAATCGATACGGTGAATGCAGGTACATATGGATATTGCATCACCTAATGTTTCAACGCGGGAAACTGTTTTATTTTTGAGATGTTTCTATCGAGACAATTCTATTTCTTCGTAACAAGTTCTTAAAAGAAAAAGAAATATATCCAATTCTATAGCTAATATTTACATACAATGTTTGTATTATCGTCGATAGATACTTCTGTTTTAAAAGGAAATAAAAACAAAAAAAAAATAGATAAGAAAATGAATATATAATAGTAACGAATATAATCATAATTCAACAATAAAAATCTATCTTTTATTTTTTCTTTTCCACTGATAAATGTATAAACTTTGATTAAGAATTATCTAAGTTTACAAGAAAGAAAAAAAAAACTAATGTAATCTACAAAATAGAAATGAAAATAATGGAAATGCGGTGAAGGAAGAAATACGACTGAGATATGTCCGCGTCTCGAAGGAAAATAAGAACGCCGAGGTTATCCGAAAAAATCCGAATAGCGACGGAACGAAACGAAAGTAGGGAAGCGCGCATTTTTCATTTCGGCGGGGACTAATGAAGTAAGCCGAACGTTGACGTTCTTCGTTTCGGCGGTGACCAACGAAGTGAACCGAACGTTGGCTTTCTCCCCACTGATACTTGCCTCCCACCCACCCAATACTTTCCCCCCACCGTAAAGCTCGTCAGAACCACATGTGCGAAGAGCACGCGTTCGTTTCGTTTGTATGTACGTTTGAAAGAGGTATGGTCACAAGAATTCGAACCTTTGAGTGGGTCGTAACAAAACGACGTTGCCGAAAAAATCTTAATTTAATATTCTCTTATATATTGAATCATTTTCATTTGAAAATAATAATAATCACCTAAAAATGCCGGACAAAGTAGCACCAGCCGAAAGGCAAGTGATGGTGCTTCATACTTCGAAAAAAAATATTTCCGAAGATAAGAATAAAGACAGTGGTGTGAAATTGAAAAAAGAATTAGGATTACTCGATGGCGTTGCAATAATCGTTGGTATCATCGTTGGTGCTGGCATTTTTGTTTCACCTAAAGGAGTCCTTACTAATAGTGGCAGCGTTGGCCAAGCTCTCATCGTTTGGATTTTCTCTGGTTTACTTTCACTTGTCGGTGCTCTCTGTTATGCCGAATTAGGTAAGTGAAAATTAATTTCTTTTTATTTAATACATTTTCCCGCGTCAAATCACTCATATGTTCTTTAGAAATTCGCACATATTGTATATGTCGAGATACACGTGGCCGCAAAACGTCGACTCTACTGCAGTCTAGTCGCGTTGCTATGACACGAACTATGGTGTAATGAATCTAGAACTATATTTTACGTTATTGATAACTATATTTTTCACAAATTTTCAGCGATAAAAACGATATTATTTCATTAATTATACATTTTCCAGAATAATGAGATCAACATTTAAATCATTGTATTTAAATAAAGTTTATTTAAATAAATTAAATCGAATAAATTTCTTCCGAAAAGTTTGTATTTGCATAGTAAAAGAATAAAATATTATGGTTATTTATATTTATATATTATTATCTATTATTTATTATCTAATGCATAGTTGCATACATTATTTCATGTATAATAAAGTATTGATAAAAATTTTAAATATGATGACAAAACTAAAGATAATATTGCAAATACGTAGTTAATAGTTATATCATTCGAACTGTTTTTATGACATAGTGGCAAGTGATAGAACTGTAAACTCTTGCATCATCTTATTGTAAGTTAAGGAAAACTACAGTCCTCGTAAAAAAACAAAAAAAAAAATAAATAAATAAATATATAACAAAAACTATTTCGGCTAGTAGTAATTGAGAAAAAAGTCATAATAATTCAATAATATCTTATAAAAAATATTGTGTTTGTTTATACAATTTTGTTATTTAATTATTATTATTGATATTTCATCATATATAAATACCTATATTTATGTATATTTATGTATACCTATATATGTATATTCGATCTATATACATATAGATCGAATAATTTATAAATTGCACCTGTTCGTTCTCTCATCGATATAGATTGAAAATATTATATATCAGTTATATTTACTAAAAGAGATAAGATATAAGAATATTTTTCTAATAATCTAAATAAATAATCATGAAATTTTTATTATCTATACATTATGGAATATAAACGATGTTATTATCCGAAAAAATGTCGATAAATTATAAATCGAACATCTACGAAGATAACAATAAATAATCTATATCTTAAATGCCTTTTTTTTTTTAGATAAAAGTCTTCTCAGCAGATTTATTAAAAAAAGAAAAAAAAGAAAAGAAAGAAAGAAAGAAAGAAAAAACCGAAAATTTACTATAACGACATGATAGATCTATTCCTTCAATGTTATCTTTAATAAAGAAATAACCGTTCATATAATTTATATAATTACGAGCTAACATTTTAACTGTTTCAACAAATATAATGATCACGCTCGTTGCTTTCGATTTTACATTTTAATGCATGTTACTATACGCGTATGTATTTATATATGTACATAATCATGCCTGAATATCACAGCCGTTTTATATTTTTTTTCTTGTATTACAGGTACGATGATACCAAAATCAGGTGGTGACTATGCCTATATTAGCGATGCGTTTGGATCATTACCAGCATTTCTTTATCTATGGGTTGCATTATTTATTCTCGTTCCAACCGGAAACGCTATTACTGCACTTACGTTTGCACAATACATTTTACAACCTGCTTGGCCAGGTTGTAAGCCACCATATGCAGCTGTAAGACTTCTTGCAGCAGTCGTTACATGTAAGATATAATAAAAAAATTGAAAAAAATGATTATCATCATCATCAACAGAAACAAAAGAATAACATTTTCTTTTATTATCTCTAGGCTTGTTAACTGCAATTAATTGTTATAATGTTAAATGGGCAACAAGGGTTCAGGATATATTTACTGGTACAAAGATCTTTGCCTTGATCATCATCATGGTTGCTGGTTTCTGGTGGCTTTGTACTGGTCATACAGATAATTTTCATCAACCAATGGCTGGAACAAATACGCAACCTGGTTATATCGCGCTTGCTATATATTCAGGATTATTTTCCTACTCTGGGTGGAATTATCTTAATTTTGTCACAGAGGAATTGAAAGATCCTTACAAGTAAATACATATATATATATACATACATATATATATATATATGTATATATATATATATATATGTATGTATGTTTATATGTATGTATGTATGTATGGATGGATGTATGTATATGTACGATTACCATATGCTACGAATTTTTGTTTCAACTTAATTTTCGTCTTTGCTGATAATCTGATAATTAATTAATATGATTTAACAAATTTATAAGGTTTTACAGCAATATAAAAATATGTTTAATCTTTATCTTATTTATATATTTACTTGAATATTACAGAAATCTTCCAAAAGCAATATGCATATCTTTGCCATTGGTGACAGTGATTTATGTCTTAGCAAATGTCGCATACTTCGTTGTCTTGACGCAAGATGAGATACTTGCATCGAACGCAGTCGCTGTTGTAAGTTTCATTTACATTAAACATCCGACTAATTGATTTTTAATTGTTTAATTAATTAATTCAATATTTGGAAAACAAAGATTTTAATCTTTTTATTACGATACGATTATTTTTTTCTCAGACTTTTGGTGATAAATTATTAGGAGTAATGTCATGGATCATGCCGTTTTTCGTAGCATGCTCAACATTCGGTGCATTAAACGGTGCAATCTTCGCTTCTTCAAGATTATTTTTCGTTGGGGCACGTAACGGTCATTTGCCTACTGCCATAGCACTCATTAATGTACAAAATTTGACACCAATGCCTTCCCTTATATTTCTGGTAAGTATTTTTCTTCGATTTTAATAAAAATTTTAACGAAACAATTGGTACATTATTATGTAAAAAAAAAAGAACAATTATCAACTTTATATATAATAATAACAATTAAAGCAATAACTTTAATACGTTATTAATGGTAAATATGTAACTAATATTAAATTAAAAATCAATTCACAGTTTCACCATCATTAATTTTTATTATTTATTAAAATAAGTTCTAATTGTTTAAAAAAGTGAGTAATATTTATTATTAATTAATGATATAGTAATACCATTATTATCTAAGTAACACATAAGACATTCGAGATTTCAACTATCATCTTGTTTTGCGATACGTTAATTGGTAGTAATAAATTGGATCTTTCATGTCGCTGACCGTGTCTTTAATGATAGACGGCGGAAGTCTCCTTTTCGTCTTTGTTCCTTCGTTTGTGAGAATGTAATTTGACCTGAATGACCTAGAGGTCGACTCTAACGTTTTAATACTGCATTGATATATATAGTATTAAAGAGACGAGTCCAAACAAATGTGAATAAATATCAATTTGTTTCTTATATAGGTATTATATGCATATATGCGTATACATACATACATATATATATATATATATATGTTTGTATATATATTATGTCTTATGATAAATAACGCAAATGATACTAATTGTAAATTTGGTAAAAATTTAATTACACCTGTAGACACGAGAGAACAATTTTTCTGTACTTGATCGCAAACTCCAATTTAAACGTTAAACTGTAATTTCCGTTTCTAGTGCATTATCACCCTGGCACTTCTGATCATAGAGGATGTCTATGTGCTGATCAATTATGTTAGCTTCGTTGAAGCACTGTTCACCACGCTCTCAGTATCTGGCCTCTTGTGGCTACGTTACAAAAGGCCCGATCTTCATCGACCGATAAAGGTATTCCATCTGATAATTAATTTTTTAATATGTTATAATTAATTTACATATTATTTAAAATTAGAGTAATTAATTTTCTTTGTAATTGAACTTATTAGTTCCACTTAATGTTTCTAACTGGAAATATTTTTTCCTCCATTCTAATATCAAAAATTTCCGATATACTATATAATCATTTTTTTATGTAATTATATTTTGTTTCCAAGATATTCCAGTTAAAAACGTTAAACAGTTTATTTCATATAAGTATCATTAATACGAAATTTGTTATTATACTATTATCCATAATAATATACAAGTTCGTATGGGCGCTCGTTTTATTTCTTATTTTTTTTTTCTTTAGGTATCTATAGCTTTACCCGTAATTTTCTTCATAATTTGTACATTTTTGGTTATTCTTCCTTGCTACGTTTCACCATGGGAAGTAGGAGTAGGAATAATTATTATTTTATCTGGAATTCCTGTATATTCGATTTTTATATACTGGAAAAACAAACCAATTTGGCTAGTGTCAGCTTCACGTAAGTATTGCTCAATCAATTTATAGTTATATATAAAAATGTGATATTAAATATATAGAATTAAAATTTCATTGGATTTTAATACATCATTAAAATAAATTATTGACTTTTAGATAATTTTAACATGTTTTGCGCGAAACTTTTTTTGTGCGTACAAGAAGAGAAAAATGATTGAAAAGGTAAGTGCGTTTTATGGTCTTCTCTAGACAATGCAAATATATATATTTATAAACGATAAACTGACCTAAAGGAGCAATATTTCTTTTTTGTATGCAATAATTATTATATTAATGGAAGTTCCTCTTGGCTATAATAATTAATGATATATAAAATATAATGAATGATTATGAGTGAATGAAGTTAATTATGAATATTTTATAAATATATATATATATCAAAAGTGTCAATGATGCTTCCAAAGTACTGCCAAATTTGTAAAATTTAAAAATTGTTGAAAAGATTTTTTATTTTAACGTTATTTAACTAGGCAAGAAAAGAAAAATAACTAAATTATTTAAATCGTTTATATGAATGTGAGGCGATTTCTTATACTTTTATGCAAAAATAACTTTTTCATGCATTATTTAATAAATCTTGAAATGTTTTGCATATAGTTAAAGTATTTAATAATGCATTAAAATATTTAATATTATATATTACGTGCAAACGCGATTGATGATAAATTTTGCTTGATCATATATAATTGTACATATAACAATCAATTGAATAATGTATAATCTATTCTTTTGCTAAAGATAATTAAGATATATATCTTAATTATCTTATATATATATATATATATATATATATATATATATATATATAAATTTTTTACATAAAATAATAATTGTAAATATTACATCATCAGCCTTTGCGAGTCAATTATGTTTTGTCTATTTATATTTAATAATATGTATTCGATATATAAATGAATATTATGTTAATAATTAATATATATATATATATATATATATATATATATATATATATTTATATATATATATTGCGTGCGTCCATGTGTGTGGGTATATGAGTGTGTGTATGTATAAATGAGATAGTTGGTATAAAAAGTCAAATAAATGTATAAGCGTTATTTTTTAATATTTCTTTTTTTTTCCTTTTGGTTGTGTATTTATACTCATTTTTAATATAATTCAATTGTAATATACATAATCCAGAGCAAATGTAGAATAAAATCACTTTTTTCAACTCCTTTTCTATCGCCGACACATGTGTGATCGATTGCTAAATTTCCTTTTTTTTATACTAATGGAATATGTAATATTTCCAACATCAATTTTTATGTATGCCACCCATGCTCATCTAACAGTAAAGACAAACTTGTATAAAATGTGTTCTCTTTTTCTATCTGTTTCTCTCTCCCTCTCTTTCCCTCTCCCTCTCTCTCTCTCTCTCTCTCTCTCTCTCTATATATATATATATATATATATATATATATATATATATATATATATATATATATATATTACGTTAAAATACATTGAGAATCAGCATTTCTTAAATGTTTGCAGAATTGATATATTTGGCAATTTTCAAATTTTTTTTGGCTTTTTTATAATATAATAAATTGCACGTGGTAATTGTATATTTCCAAAAATGTCGAACTTTTCGAATTTTTTATATGAAAGTTCTTATTTGGCACATATACAGTATTTATATTACCGTTCCATAATCAGCCAAATATTTGAAAAATTGGTACCGATATAATGTATCCCAGAAAAATTCAATATTTTCTATTAATATTTACCGAAGTTGAAAAAATTTCTTCAAAGATATATTGTATGTATATAAGTATGTATGTATATAACAGAATTTTCTAAAATCTGTGCAGTTTTAACAACAAAATCTACAAATATATATTATCATATATATATATATGATATATATCATATATATATATATATATATAAAATATTCTCTATAATACTTTTAATATTGGAAGAAATCGAAGAAGATAAAGTTCAATAAACAGTTATTTAAAATATAATTTGTCAAAATTGAGATTATACCAAAAATTAATTGGAAATATTTTTCTCTCTTTCTCTTTAACGACGAAGATTAAAAAAAAAAAAAAAAAAAGGAAAGAAAAACAAAAACATTTCATTTGAAAGATGTATCAACGAATAACACATACGTAAATATTCTAATGTTTCTTTTTTTATATATGTATAGATATATATATATATTTTTTTCTTCTGTTTTTAAATATATTTGTACGATCATTCTATATGACTAGTACATAAATAGAGAAATCGACATGTAAAAACGGTGATCTTAATTTGACTTTTACGAAGAACATCGTACGCTCGTTCTAAGTTAGTGTGGGAAAATATATATTATCCAATAAATATGTATAATAACTGTGTGATTATAGTATTTTTCGTAAGAAAAACACAATAATCAAAAGTGCTAGATTTTCTCAAATCATGATCCAGCACGATAATAATTCAATATAATATACACGATATTCTTTCATTAAATTATTTACAAAAGATGCACGTTTATAACAAAACTCTATCAAAAAAATTATAGATAATGGTGCATCACACATTTTGTTCAATTATTTCGAACCTATCGATTGAAAAAAAAAAAACAAAAAGAAAAAATATAAACAAGAAAAATCGGCCTTCCCTAAACTTCTTCGATCTTTTATATCATTCGATAAAAATTTCTTATCCAATATCTTCGAAAACTCGATAATCGTACAACTACGATCTGAATAGAACAATTTGATAAATATAATAAACTCAACGTAAGAACGTTGAAAATAGAACCGACTAAATGATTGAGATGATTATTACCCGATCGAGATCATTAAAATCAGCCTTCTGCAAGCGGAGGCGTAACCCAACCATATTTCTCGTGAGTTTTAACGAGATTTCGAAAAGATTCTTCAGCGGATCGCCGATTGAATTCTTTATTGGTCTTTGGTTTTCTAGCAACGCGTCCCTAGAAAATTTAATCTATAGTTTAACATGCTCGAAAAAAAAAAAAGAAAAAGAAAAGAAAAATAAATAATAAAAAAAAGAATAATTAAATAATAAAGTGACACGTAAAGTAGTACCGTATATTTTATCAAACATTAAAAGTATATACATTAGAAATATACGTGCGAAGAAGAGTGAATACATGTGAATTATTTCCTCACCTGTCCCTTAACGATACTGGCAGCAAACTGCGTGATAACAGCTTCGATAGTGTATGCACTGGCCCATCCTCTAGGTGTTAAAAGTTCCATACAAATAGCCCCACCTTCCATGACAAAACCTTTTTCAATTCTCGGCGAGATTACTCTCATGAAAGGTGGCGCGAAAGGAAAATTTTCTGGAAAGACTACGTGAAGAAGTATATAGGGTATCTCGAGTTCCCGCATGTCGGCAGCTAGCTCGCTTTCTGGATCGATTTTGTGAAGTCTCACGTGCCACTCAAATAGATTGTCATTGATGAGCTCGGCGGTAAAAGTTGCATCTCGGCGATGTTGAGTTCTTTGAATCTCACTGAGTTCTTTCATCAAACGACGTAATCTAACTTTCTCTGGGATGTTACCCTATAAATTTATTATGAGATCAAATGAACAAAAATTCTTTCCTTAGTAGTGAAATTTGTGATCAGTTTAAATATCTTCAAAGGACTGTGATCTTCGGTTAAAAGTAGTTCAATTATAAAATGAATTACCTGAGAGGAAGTACTGGAAGACTTCTTTGTTTTGAAGAAGCAACTACCATGTGCGGTATGACTGCTGCCTGGATTTTCAGGCATGGAACCATCAGACGGCGTGACCGCATCAGGTCGATGATGATGACGATTAAGTAATCGTCTGGAAGGCGAATTTGTCGAGCTATCACTTCCACCTTCCTGTTCAGCAAGCTTCTCCGATGATCGGAATAATTTCCGAAAGGCAGCAACTACTTTCTCCTTCGATCTCGTAGACATGACTTGAATTGTCACGATAGATATAAAAATGTTTCTTTTTCGAATCGTTCGTCACTGCCGTCTTTGATATCGTCGATTCAAAAGGATATCTTATCCGATAACGGTCCTACAATAAATCTAAGCTGGTACAAAGTGTATCGCAAAATTGTCAAACAAAATTATTCGAAAATCAACAGGAATTTCATTTGAAACGTGTCCTTAATACTTTGTATAAATATTTTTTAATACAATATAATCGGCAAAGTGAACGCTTTGTTTTAATAAATTGATTAAAAAGTTGTAAGTGTTAACTGAGAACATCCATGCAAACAAAAGAAATCTATTATAAAACACAAGAAAAGCGTAATGTCTTTAAAATGTAAAAAAAGAAAAAAAAAAGAAAAACTAAAAAAAAAAAATGATAATAGAATTAATTATACAAATATTAACACCTTTTTCAATAATATTATCTTCGTTTAACATAATGCGTAACGAGTCGCATATCTTCGTCATTCATGATCCATTTTTTCTACGATTCCCCGCCGGTCAAATTCGTAACAACGTGAATTTCTTCTTTGTAAGGTTTTAAAATCACTCACTCGCTCACTTTATTCTCCCTATACAAGAGAAATGGAGAGTAAATAATGCGGAGTAGTAAGTAACGCTTAACATATAGGAGTTATACTGACTACGGTGTATACGTATTTGCGAATGGAACAAACGAGTGACATACGCGGTACAGCGCAATCTCCACCCTCATTGAACAGAGTAGGACGCCTTGTTGAGATATGGATAAATGCCTGGAAGGGTTGACATAGTCGGTAATGTTGCTTCGTGCCAAAAGAAACGCCTGGACTTCCTAATATCGATCCATTCAAAGCGCCTCTTTCGCTGTCAAAAAAACAAATGAAACAAACTTATATTCTTTTTCAATAATATTCATTGTATTATACGTTCATTTTATTTTTTATGTGTGTATATATGTGTGTGTGTATATATGTGTGTATATGTAAAATATACAAAAAGATATTCATTCAAAAAAAATTATAAGAAACGTTGGTTTCTTAATTAATCGGCTACGTTCAGGGCGTTAATTTACGAAATTGCCGAAATGCGAATGTGTGTATTTAATATTATTATCTTTTTTATTTAACTTTCCACGGCACTACAATGTACGAATTTAAATATCGGTTTGAGAATAAAAATGTTAGAATATAATTAGTTAAATAAACAAATACGATAAAACATGATATATACTGTATCCATGCCCATTTTAATTCTTCCCACAAATTAGGTTGATAATATATTAAATGATCTTTGTAATGTAATTCTCCTTGAATTGTAATCATATCTTCCTTTGAAAATCCCGATTGAGTGATTACATGGCTGTTAGTAATTTCAGCTGAAACTAATAGATTACAAAAATATATAAATTCGTTCATAAATTTTATAGTTTTGAAAACAAAATAAAATATAATGCTTACACTTTTTATTAACACTTTGAGATAGCAATTGCAGCAATGTTCGGTCTGACAACTCTATACTATGATTATATGTCTCATATAAATGATCGCTATGAAGAATACCTCTCTGTTTTAATTCCAAATCGGCAATAAAATAAATCTTTTGTTCATCTTGATGTAATGTATGATCAAATATTGCTAATGATTGAATAGAGCTTTCCAAAATTTGCTATTAAAAAAAGAATATTTATCAAAAAAGATATATTTTACATTGATGTATAATAAACAATATGTATTAACTTAACTAATGTCTTACCTTTAATTTAAAATCAAAAAATAAAAAAAACCTTATGTTCTTAATAGGTGAATCTGTATAAAATTGAGCTTCAAACTTTAATATATCTTTCTTCCCATCGTTGTTTGTATCTATTTCTTGTACCTTAAATATATATATCTATATAAATTTATATATATATATTTATATAAATTTATATATATATATATGTATAATATATATATATATATAATTAATATATATATATATATATATATATATATATATATAAAGTAGATAAATTAAAAAATATTAAAATAAAAACCTTTATGATTAAACAATCATCAGAAATATTATTCTCTTTGTAGCTAGTAAAGGTAGAACAAACTATTGGGGCCATTTCTATGCCTCTCTCCATTAGTAATAAATATTTATATTGGAAAGATATGTCTGGTGTTTCTGCATGAGTTTTTGTTTTTATCCAAAATCCTAAAAGCAAACTAAACTTGATATTCTTTTCAATTTCAATGTTCTAATAAAGCAAAATCAATAATGTTATATTAAAATTTATACCTCCTGTATTAAACATTAGAAAGAACGGAGTAATTATTGACATCATAACCAATAATAACACAATTAAAGAACTTAAAGAATATATTCTAGCTCTATATTTATAGTAAATAGAACTCGAAAATATTTCAATCGCAGTCATATCGGATCTCAATGTTTTGTTAATATTTATTCGTTGCTTTGGTAACAATCATCGACAAGAGTCTAATCGTTGATTGAGAAACGCCATCTTGTATAATAAATACCTGAAATAAAGTTCATATTCTTATTGTTAGATGGAAATTCAGATTAATTATTATTAATTTTCAATTATATTAACATTTGTATATTAAATTTTTTTAATTAATATATAAATATTAAATTACATTTACTCGATTTATTCTCCAAAAAAAATTTTCACAAAAAATTAATTTCTATCTTTTATTATTATTATTATTATTATAATTCGATTGACAGTTTTATTTTACTTTTAATCATTCAATCTATGCATTAAATTTTTTTATATCATTAGAAACAAATTGTTTATTTGAATATAATTTTTATTTTGTTTTAATAAATTGTTAAAAAAAAGCATCATAAATTGGCGGGAAATTTGAACGATGTTAGTTCACGAAGAATTTTTAGATCGTGTGAGTGCATGACGTGTCATGGCACCTTTCGAGATTTGATGTTCGTTGCGATATAATGTTCCATGCGATTGACAAACGTATGTAACGGAGTTACAGGACGGGAATTATTATGAAGTATTGCGACTATTTATTTGATGTAGTATCCAAAATACGTTTTTAGTAGACAATAGATACTTTATATTAAAAGTGAATAATAATGGCGAGAATATTATCATCGATATGGCTGTTGTGTACGCTCTACGTAGTTACTGAAATATCAGCGTTTTACTTGCCCGGTTTAGCACCAGTAAATTTTTGTAAAACTGATGATGATTCTTCGAAAAATTGTAAGGTATATTATCTTTTTATTAATTTCTCGATGCAAAAAAACTAAAATAACATTGAACATTTTTTCTACGTATATTTGGTTAAGATCGTCTATTTGCGTTTTATAAAGATACTTTGTTCTAATGTTGAGTATCTTATCTCTTCGATTCATAAAATTACATTTCTTACTATTCGAGATATTTATGTGGTAATAGAAATAAATCTAAACAATGTATCGTTTTTCATGATGAAATCGTTTTTCAATTATTATTATTATTATTATTATTATTATTATTATTATTATTATTATTATTATTATACTTTTAACATTATTTTTCTTATTAAATAAATGGCACTTAATATCATTATAATTTTATTTTTTATAGATATTTAATGCATTATCTTAATGTTTCAAGTAAAATTTAATAACAATTATAACAATTTAATAATTAAATAAATATTAAATATTTTTATTGTATATTTTACACCACTTTTATAATTAATACAATCTTTGATACAATTTTTTTTTTTTTTTTAGTCTGAAATCAAATTATATGTTAATCGCCTGAATACTGAGAAATATGTTATACCTTATGAATATGATCGGTAAGTAAAATAAAAAACTTTCATTTGATTTCTAGATATTATATATTACTATGTATTGTTTAGATAAATTATGGAAAAATCTCTTTCATTTTTATCATATCTTTTTAATAACAAATTTTCTTCATTAGTTTTGACTTTTGCACTGCGGAAAAAGAAGAATCTCCAGTTGAAAATTTAGGGCAAGTAGTCTTTGGAGAACGGATTCGCCCTTCTCCATACAAGGTAAATGAATAAATGTAATTACTTTAAACTGCAATAAATATAATATTTAATATAATCTATATATTTCTTGCAGTTGAAATTCTTGGAATCAGTCAATTGTCAGAAAGCATGTAAAAAAGTTTATAAAGGAGGAGATGAAGCTTCAGAAAAAAAGTTGCAATTCCTTAAAAAAGGAATAGCGCTTAATTATCAACATCATTGGATCATTGGTAAATATCACTACAATGAGAAATTTATTGTTATTAATATTATTATATTATTACTTAATTTCATCTTTTTATTTGATAGATAATATGCCAGTCACATGGTGTTATCAAATACAAGATGAAAAACAATATTGTAGTACTGGTTTTCCAATGGGCTGTTTTACAAAGGAAGCTCGTTCTCAACAGGATGCCTGTAGCATTAATGTATGCATGATTAAAAATAATTAGATTCAAAAAAATTCATTTAATAATGTTAGATAACAACATATTTTATATATATATATAGATTCATTTAATAATGTTAGAATAAGAATATATTTCTTATATATATATATATTATACTTAAGAGTACTTCTGATATTCTTGTTATTAGGGTCCATATCACAACCCAAAAACATATTATTTATTCAACCACGTAGATCTTAACATAACATACCACAGTGGAGTCAAAGAAGAATGGGGAACAAGTTTCAAAGCAAATGGTGGTCGTATTATCTGTAAGTATTTGTAATATCTTTATTGATATAATATAGCATAATTTTGATGAGAGGAAAAAAGAATATGCTCCCTTTTGATTATAAATAAATTAAAAAAAAAATTTCTTTTCTATTAGCTGTAAAAGTTATTCCTCGTAGTATTAAACACGAAAATGTCCTAACTTGTACTGGCAAAAAAGCCATGGAATTACCATATGGTGATCTTCCTGCTGATCAAACATTGGAAATAACATATACATATTCTGTAACATTTTCCGTAAGTTTTCTTAACTACGTTATTACAGAAAAAAAAGAACTTGTCAATTATCATTTTATTACTACTTACATAATGTTCTAATTACAGCAAGACAATACAATCAAATGGTCATCCAGGTGGGATTATATATTAGAATCAATGCCACATACAAATATTCAATGGCTTAGTATCCTGAATTCATTAATTATTGTCTTATTTTTATCTGGAATGGTGGCAATGATAATGCTTCGTACATTGCACAAGGATATTGTGAGATATAATCAGGTACATATATATATATATATATATATACAAGATTGTGACAATCAGATATACTAGGACAATGTTTTTAAGATTTTATTGAAATGTAATTACATTGTTAAAGTGATTATTATAATTCACTTCTCTGGAAAACCTTCACTTTGTTTTCTTTCTGTTTTGTTTTTTTTTCTGTTGTTTTCTTTTCTTTTCTTTTCTTTTTTTTTTCTTACTCGTTCGAAAGTGAAAGGTTCCAAAATTATATTATTATATGAAATGATGATATTTTTACGTTTATGTTGCGATAATGCAGGCCTACTTCCAGATAGAGTCAGGAGAAGATGCACAGGAAGAATTTGGATGGAAACTAGTACATGGTGATGTCTTCCGACCACCACGTAAAGGAATGTTATTTTCAGTTTTACTTGGTTCGGGTACACAAGTCTTTTTCATGACTCTTGTTACACTAGGTGAATAATTCAATGATTTTATATATGAAATTAACTTATAATTTGTATATTATTAAAATAAAAAAATAATGAAGTTCTCTAATTTCCTTTTTCAAAATTAATTAGCTGATGTATTGTTTCGATTGATTACAGCATTTGCTTGTTTTGGTTTTCTGTCTCCTGCTAATAGAGGAGCATTGATGACATGTGCAATGGTATTATATGTATGTCTTGGAACCTCAGCTGGTTATGTAGCTGCTCGAATTTATAAAAGTTTTGGTGGCGAAAAATGGAAATCTAATGTATTGCTGACATCAATGCTGAGTCCTGGGTAAAAAAAAAAATGACTTTATCTATGGAAAGAAAATTTTTTATATTAAATCTCTAATTATTTGATTTATTCGTGCGAGCGTGTGTACGTGTGGCATGCGTGTATTTATATATTTTTATATATATTTGTATATATATATATATATTCTTTTTTATATAATTTCAGACTTGTCTTCGGTTTATTTTTTATAATGAACTTAATTTTTTGGGGAAAAGGCAGTTCAGCTGCAGTACCATTCAGTACTCTTGTTGCTCTTTTAGCATTATGGTTTGGAGTTTCCGTTCCATTAACATTTATTGGAGCTTATTTTGGATTTAAGAAAAGGGTAAATATATATAAACAAAATATATTAAATTGCATATAAACATAAAAATTCAAACGAATCCGATACTTACAAGTTCTCACTTAATATTTATAATTATAGTCATTGGAACATCCAGTAAGAACTAATCAAATACCAAGACAAATACCAGAACAAAATTTTTATACACAACCAATACCTGGCGTAATAATGGGTGGTGTTTTCCCTTTTGGATGTATATTTATTCAGTTATTCTTTATTCTTAACTCACTTTGGTAATTAATATTTTACAACTTATTATTAATTATTCAAATAATAGAATTCACATAAAATCTCTATATTCTTATTTTCTTTAGGTCTAGCCAAGTGTATTACATGTTTGGATTCCTTTTCCTAGTATTTTTAATACTTGTGATTACGTGCTCTGAAACTACTATCTTACTATGTTATTTTCATCTTTGTGCAGAGGTATTTCACACGTATTCAAGCTTATGATTTTATAATATATTTTTTTCTCCTATACAATAGAAATTTTTTTTATATAGGATTACCATTGGTGGTGGCGTAGCTTTTTAACATCAGGATTTACAGCATTTTATTTGTTAATTTACTGCATACATTTCTTCATGACAAAATTAGATATTGAAGATGCCACATCCACGTTCCTTTATTTTGGATATACTTTAATTATGGTCTATCTATTCTTTCTTCTGACAGGTAAATATTCATTAATTATATATTATTATTATAATATAATAATAAATATGTTTAAATATTTTAATAATGAAAATGATTTTATTCATATGTTACCATAGGTTCAATAGGTTTCTTTGCTTGCTTCTGGTTTGTGCGTAAGATCTACAGTGTTGTAAAAGTTGACTAATTGGACAATTAGTAACCAAAAGTATAAATATAAAACGATTGTGGTACAACAAGATAAAATGATTGAATAAGATGAAATGAATGATAACAAGAATGTCCGATAGTACAATGACCATTTGTTATTCATATATAACTTATGTTCAAGTTATTCAAATCCTCTTATTTCAAATATTATTGTGTAAAAAATAACATTTATCTTACAATATAATATTTGACTAAGATTTCATTCATAATTTCATAAGATAATTTAGATATGAAAGTATCCAAGAATAGAAATCGACTATCGACCATTCTTCTTAATAAATTTTATATAACAAATATTGGGATGCGAGCAAGCTTGCACGCACACCGCGCTCCGTATGAGTGTAATCTAATATTATGATATTGCGTTTGAAAAAATTTTTTAGTAGTGTGTCAATTAATTTATCAGAATATGTCTATGAAGGTAATATTACCTACAGTATTTGGCCTACACAAAACTAAGAAACAAAGTAAAATACAGGTACCACCGTTATGTTTCCAATACATTGTACTTTTTCAATTTATTATTGCATTAATATTATTAGAATGATTTTTAGTTGCTATAAATATCAACAAGCAAAATAATATTAATTCTATTTAAATATTTATCGCGAGAAATATACCTTAATAAAATAAAAGATACTTTTTTTTTTTTTTTCATCATTTCAAGCTATAAAGTTAATATTAAATTGGAGAAGTTGCTACGATAAAAATGTCTCTATTTGAAAACAAACAAAAAAATGTAAACGATTTTTCTTTTCTTATTAATAGTATTTATAATTTGGAACTATTTTATTAGTATAATCAATATGCACATTATTACAACAATTTTGTAAATTAAAGCCATTTAAATATTAGTATTAATGATGTTATTGATATGAATAAAGATATCAAATAAGTTTATGTACATATTCCATTAAAACCGAACAAATAAACTTTTGATGTTAATAGTATTAGAAGCATATAAATACGTGTATGTGTGTGTGTGCATGTATATATATATATATATATATATACGCATATATATGTGTGTGTGTATAACTTGAAGTAAAGAATGGTATCAATTATTAGCCAAATGTATCACTTTCTGAACACATGTATATTTTGTAAAGTATTACTTATTGTTTATATCTCATCTACAGGTAAATAACAATCTCCCAATTGGTATACTGTAAAAAGTAAGCGGTAAAGATACTTCATGTCCTATCGTGTTTTACATTTATTGATAATTTTACACATGTCACATTATGGAATATTGAATATTATTATATATACAATGTGTGTTTTTCCTGCACGACTATTTGGCAGGTACAACACAGTAGTGTTTTTCATATTCTACTACCACATTTTGTAGTGATAGGGTCATAATCCATTAACTTTGAGTTAAAGTTAAGGCAAACAAGAAAGTGGATATTATAGAAAGAAACTTTTTTCTTTTTTTTTTTTGTGTCTGTTTCCACATTCACATTTTTAATCAATCGACAATATTGCAATTTTCATGTCGTAGTATTATTGCTATCTGCGCGTCGATTTAAACAGTTGACTAAAGTTCGTTTCATAGAAAAAGAGAAAACGAATAACTCAATTCAACGTTACGCTTCACAAATACAATGTCCTTTTTGTTATTCGACCAATAGTTTTTTTTTTTTTTTTTTTTTTTTTTTTTTTATATTAATTTCTCTTTCTCTCTCTCTCTCTCTCCCCCTCTTTTTATATTCTTTTACGAATCCCACGTTGTGTGTGTGTATACTCGTGATGTGCAGCATTACGAGTAATATAGTTTTTATTGCATCATATTTATACGATGCATTTTGCAGTGAAAATGATGCAGTGCCTGTCCTGTACAGATGATCAAAACACAGTGCCACACTATCGAATCTGTTCTATTGTTACCGCCACTCTGTCGAATAGTAAATGTTGTTGACCTGTAAGAAGTAAGGTTTAATGCTCAAAGCTGAGGTGTCAAGGAACGAAGGAAATTATGGAGCGTCACCATGCAAGAGGAAAATCTTTCACTATCGTTAAATGAATCAAAATGAAAAAAAGTATTAATCGTTCCCACTAAACCCAATAATCTTAAAAAAAAAAAAAAATCCAAGTAATGCATATAATAATAAGATTATTTTGTGACTTGTTTTCAAAAAGAAATAATAACATTTAACAAATAATATTAAAACACTAGTGCAGCAGCAGCATCATTATAGATTTTCAAACAAATAAAATAAAAATGAATCTTAATAACACAAGTGACAAAATAAAATGTAAATTCAATGAATATGATGAACTGTCAGTTGCTGAAATTATTATTTTTTTTTTCTTTTTTCTTCTTTTTTTCTCAATCGACAAATGTAAAAATGTCCTGTATGTAAGTTCGTCAAAGTACGTTTCTGTTTACGTCAGGAAAAAGGTACGTTTATCGGAAATGGCGATCTGCAAATTTTCTATTTTCTTGGACTACGACGGCGTCGGCTGTCTCTGCTTCTTTCAGTACGTCTCATCTCTTCTAATCTGCGAGCGTGCTCGGCCATATGCTGTCTTCGCATTTCTTCCTTTACTACTATCTGCGTTCATGAAAGATGCACACATAATATTATAATATCGAATATATATAAATACATACATATATACATATACGTGCACACACACACACACACTCACACTAATTTAAGGTCTTCTGTAATTATTTATATCGTATTTTCTCTTTTTATCGTCTAATTAATAATTATAAAAAAAAAAAAAGTTAGTATCAATATTACTAATGTGTAAATTTCTTATTTGTTAATCATAAGAAAGATTTATATCAGAAGAACCTTATCCTCCATTAGTTTTATTCTATTTGATAATCTCAATTAATGGTTAAATATACTGTCTTAAAAAAAATTACCTGTTCATTCGTAAGTGGTAACCAATATATGCATGGTGTTGCCTTCGTTTTTCTGAAAAGATCATCTAAAAGTTTAGCTGGCGGTGGATCATCTTCCTTCTTTTTAAATTTCCTTGCAGGAGCTGGAAGATGGGCTTCCAATGCGGGACTCCGACTTCTTCTTCTTTTCTTATCTTGCTCCTTCTTGTCTCGTTCTTTTTCTTTAACATGCTGTTGCCCATCTTCTTTACCCAAATCCCATTCTCTAACAACGACCACCTATATTCAAAAGTCGATATAATTTTCATATATATATAAATTTCAATAATTATTCATACCTTCGCCGAATTTGTTCTTTCTTCACGATTCCAATCTTGTTGCCAAGAATCTGTTGTTAAAAGTTGTTCCGTTTTACGTGAAACAGGTTGATCTTTCGATAATTCTCTGGCCAATTCCATATCGTCTTTAATTGCATATTCAACATGAAGTCTTTTTGGATTTGATACGGGCCAAGATATACCATGTAACGCTTGCCTTGTTTCAAACGCTTGATCCTCATTGGCATACTAATAAAATCAAGAATAACATTTAAAAAATTATACTTTAAATTTTAATTAATGACGAATTAAGTGAGAATTTTTGACAAACCTCTACAAAACATTTAGATTTAATTCTATCCATCCAGAATCCGTTTTCGACGATCGTACCAGTACGAGAAAGAAGTTCTTTAATTTGATTCAAAGTAAACGGACGAACCAGATTTTTTATCAAAAGAATATTTGTTGGCTTTGTTGCTGGTGGACTGGGTGACTTCACATGCGGAGGTTCTTTCACAATAGAAATCTTTCGTCTTGCTGCTAGTAAATCAAAATTAAAGACCATTAATTCAAATTCAATATAATAAGATTTTGTTATTAAATAATTATGTAAAATTGTGAATAAAACATAATTTTATACCTATATGATTATCAACTTTTCCATCTCCTTTTTTTGCAGCACCATTCTTTTGCGCAAGAATATCTTTTGGCTTTTGATCATTAATATCATCATTAAGCCATTTCTCATTATCTTTTTGATCTCTTTCATCGTCATCATCTTTCGACAAACGTACTTCATTGATCGATAATGGTTTTGCACCTGGCACTAGTGCCTATTACACAAATAATATTAATAGAATTAATTATTAAATATATAAATTATATAAAGAAATTTTATTTATTAATATTACATGTAAATATACCTTGAGAGAGTCTGTTGAAATCGAAAAAGAAGGTGCGCTATCCGTGGATAATGCAGTTCCCCATCTTCGCTTTCTTGGTACGGATTTAAACTCATTATCTTCGTTACTGTGATTTTCCTGGACCAAACAAATTTTTATTATTTAGATCAAGATTTTAATCAAATAAAATTTATAGAATATTACAATGATATTATACCTTGGTTTGATTATTGGATTCACTATTAGCATTTGGATCATTATCATCTTTTTTTGAATCATTTTTATCAGCCAATATTCGTGCTGAACTAAAACAATCACATTAGAAAACATATTAAAATATATCAGCAATTATTAGTATTAAAATAATATTTTTCTAATTTCTTCAAGGATATATAATATATCAAAATAATACTTACAATGATCTTTTCAAATTAACTTTAGCAGGTTTTTGCATTGATGCCTGAACTTGCAAATCAGCCGATGGAACGTGCTCCTGCTTTTCAGTTTCATTCTCAGCTTTTGGTTTAGTTATTTCGGAATGTTCAACTTCAATATTGATATTATTTAATAGAGGATTAGATTTTTGTTCTGGAGATCTTGATTTATCTTTTTCTTCACATATATCTATTGTATTTGATTTTTCTTTGTGAGTAAAAGATTCTTCAATTTTCCTTTCAGCAGGCTGTTCATCTTCGGAATCAGGCGTTTCAGAATTAGAGGAATCTCTATATTTATTTCTATGCTTTCTGCGACTAGCACGCGATGCTGTTCTGTTGCTACTGCAATCAATTTTAGTATGTTTCTCATCATTTGATTCAGATGATGAATCTGATTTATGCATTTTCCGTTTGTCTTCTTCTTCGTCATCAGTACTAGCTTCTTTACAGACATTTTCAACACTGGCTTCTTTGTTAAATACTTCTGTTGGTTTCTGGTCAATGGTTTCCTCAGGCTGGTCTTCCTTAGGAATATCAGCAACTATTTCCTCTGATATATGATCGCCGTTTGAATTAGGAGCTGGAGTGGTTGTACTACTTGGCTTACTGGGCTCGCTATGAAGATTTTGGTTGGAACAACTAGCCTCATTTGAATCACCTTGTTGATCTATGTTTGGTTTATCGTCAGACAAGTTGGCTGAAGTGGTTTCAGGCAGGATCTCCTTGCTATCACTTACCTCTTCGTTGGAGTCCTGACCTGGGTATGAAGAGGAGGGATCATACGGCTGTTCAATGCCACTGGACATTCTTGTACAAGATACCAGCTGCTCATCTGCCGAGTCAACCTCCCCTGCACCTCCCTCACCACTTTCTTGCCACTTGTTCGACTTTTTCCTACTTAAAGAGGCATCTGATGATGCTTCTGATGTATTACGTTGTCTGCACAACTTCAATTTTTGTATTTCACCGGGGGATGCATCGGCTCTTGCCACTTTCCAAACAGAATCACCGTTATTGTCCTCCTCGGCCTCTGGTGATTGTGCCTTGATATCACCTTCAGTGGATGAAACTTTTTCTTCATGGCTATCTGATACCTGCTCTAATTCCTTATTCTGAAGACGTGTCTGTACCTGAGACTTTTCAGTTTCTTTTGTACAAGTAGCACTCACTGTAGTTGCTTCAACATTATCCTTCTCAGGTGATGTAGATGGTGAACGTTTTCCACGCCTGCGAGTTGATTTTCTTGTTGGTTTTTCAACTTTCTTTTCTGGTGTTGCTTTAGCTTTATTTCTGTCACTCTTGCGCCTCATGCCTAAAATATATATACATTATTATATTTCATACAATATATTTACAGTATTAATATTGACATTCGTAAATCATATTATAAAAATATTCATGCATTACAACTCCAAATAATATAACAGTTAAAAC